CCCCCCCGCCCCCGCCGCCTGGTGTGAGCAGCAGTAATAAATAAACAGGAACAGAGGCAAGAAGCTTATGTACTCAGGGGCTCCTGGTTCTACTTGATGTCATCGAACACGTTGGCTTCCCTTCAGCGTCTGTTTCTTTTGAACTGGGCTACAGCAGTCTATAAAACTTTAATGCATGGATTTCCCATTGTTGGGGTGTCCACAGGGCACCAGCCTTCCTGTTTCACCGTGGCTTGCTGACCAGGAAAGTAACGGGCTGGGAGGTCTGGGGGTGACTACCTTGTAGGTCTGGGTATGCCTGTGATGGTGTTCACTTTAGCAGATGGGACTCCAGGCCCCATAAATAACAGTAATAGCAGGCATGTATCAAGCTTACTGTGTGCCAGTCCCCCAGCTCTGCGCTCCATCTACGTTATCTCCAACAACCCTATAAAGCCAGGATCATTATCAGCCCTGTTTTAAGAGGAGGGAAGTGAAGGCTTCAAGGAGCTTAGGCCTTTTCCCGGTCACGCAGCTCATAAGCAACTTGGAAGAGATGGAGGAGAAAAAAACAGAAGTATCAGACTCCAACATACACTCTCTTCTTCTAAGCAATTATAGGAGACTCCTTGTCAGTTAGGGGGTCCCTGGGTGGTGCCAACGGTTTGCATTCAGCTGCTAACTGAAAGGTTGGTCGTTTGAACCCACACAGCAGCACCTCGGAAGAAAGGCCTGGCAATCTGCTTCCATAAAGATTGTTGTTAGGTGCTGTCGAGTTGATTTTCGACTCATAGTGACCCCATGTGACAGAGTGGAACCACCCATAGGGTTTTCTTGGCTGTAATTTTTAGGGAAGACGATTGCCTGCTCTTTTTCCCTCAGAGCCACTGGATGGATTTAAACCACCAGCCTCTCAGCAGCCAAGTGCTTAACTATTTATGCAAACAGGGCTCCTTTCCCCCACACAATTGTACCATTTTATACCGTCAGAAACTGTGTCCGCATGATACTACTACTTCACACCTCTGCCAAGCCTTGGTTTCCTCAGGCGGCTGTGAATTTTATACTTTTTTTTTTTCATGCCATCCTTGCTCAGGGGTCATGCTAATCTTCTTTGTATCTTCCCAATTTTAGAATATGTGCCGCCGAAGTAAGCCCAGGTGGCAGTGATTTTTAAAACAGTAGAAAAACAAAAACACCAGCCAGGAAAACCCTCTGGAGCAGTTCTGCTCTGTAACACACAGGGTCTCCCTGAGTCAAAATGGCCTCAATGGCAAAGGGTTTGGATTTCTTATTGTCAGTTTTATGGCGTTCCGTTTTGTTTTTTAATTCTGCTTTCCGTGCTCGATTTTATTTTTTAGCAGCACACACCCTCGCCATTGCTACTTTGATATTTCGTAGGTTGGGAGCGTTTTCAATCAGCAGAGATTGCTAAGGGTTGAGTGTGCCTCCATAAATGGGGTTTTCATGGAAGCACAAAGGTTATTGACCTCAAACACAAATTGGCTTGGCTCTCTAGGGTTTGCCCAGCTCGCCTCTCCCTCCCTGGGGTTTTGTTCTTGCCCTACTAGGCCTTGTTCAAGCCGGACAAAACAAACAGAGGCTGTCAGGGGAGAACGGGCCTCTTCAATGGCACAATGAGAAGTAGTCGTGGTAACAATTACTCCAATAATTCAGACACGGATGTTAAAACACTCACCGCCCAGCCCCGCGGGTTACCTAAATTATCTGGGTAATTGCCGTCATTTTCAGTGGGGATTTGGGGTTTGCAAATCCTGGGCCTTCCAAATGATAAATAACGAGACTCTCATTTAGCCCAAAGCGGAGAGGGAGCCTGGGCTCTGCGGCATCATTATGGGACGGACACAGAGGGGGAGGCACCGAGCATTGTGATAAGGGCATGCGTTTCATGGGGACTCTGGAGCCAGTCACTTCCGTACTCTCAGCCTCAGTTTCCTCAGCTGACCCTCAGAGGGAAAGCTGTTATGTGGAATAGAAAAGAAAGAGAGAGAGGAAGAGACAGAGAAGAGATGAAAAGAAAGACAGAAGAGAGACTGAGAGACAGTGAAAGAGAGGAGAAGAAAAACCAGGAATGAAAGAGAGAAGGAAGGGAGGAAGAGGGGAAGGAGGGAAGAAGGGAACGGAGGAAGGAAGGAAGAAACGGAGGGAGGAAGGAAGGAAGAGAGAGAGAGAGAGAAAGAAAACAAGAGAGAAGGGGAGGAAGTTATCGTGGCCTTTTTTGCGTGCACTGAATTGCCACAAGCATCACAAAGACATAAAAGTGACCTATGTCTGCTCCATCCAGCCTAAAGAAAAGCAAATCACAAAAAAAGTCTTTCAACACAGGCCCCAACTTTTGTCTTGCAGCATTTAGTCATCCTGCTGTTATTTCATGGGGAGTGGAAGCTAAAACAACATTGATTTTACCTTGAGTCTGCACAACTCACCACCATTCACCCTGTTTTGAGTCCCACAGCCTGTTATTTTTAACCTGTGGCTGAGTCATTTTAAATCGAAAATGCCTTCATCTTTTCTCCAAGACCCAGGGATCCCTGCCCCCGTGAGGTGACCTTTTGTGAATGAATGGCTATTTATTGAGGACCTGCTACATGCCAAAGGTCTTCCTATGCCGCTGCTCATTTCTATTTCAAACCAACCCTTTTATTAGTAGCAGTATCCTCATTGACGGAGACTAATAATTGGTAGCTCAGTGGTAGAATTCTCACCTTCCATGTGGGAGACCTGGGTTCCATTCCTGGCCCATGCACCTCATATGCAGCAGCTACCACCCATCTGTCGGTGGAGGTTTGCGAGTTGCTACGCTGCTGAACAGATTTCAGTGGAGCTTCCAGACTAAGGTGTCACTAGGAAGAAAGGCCTGGCAATCTACTTCTGAAAATTAGCTGATGAAAACCCTAAGGATCACGATGGTCTGATCTGCATTCGATCCTGGAGATGACACAGGACCAGACAGCATTTTGTTTCATTGTGCTCGGGATCGCCACGAGTCAGGGGCCGACTCAAACGCAGCTAACAATCACAATAGTATCTTCGTTTACTGCATTTGGAAATGGAAGTCCAGAGAGACTTAGCAAGAGATCAGTAAGTGACTGGACCCCTGGTCTGCAATTTTTTGTGCCCCCTCAATGTAATAGTAGTTTGGCCCCAGACTTTCTTGTGACATGTAGTACAGTTTTCCATTTTGAAAAAGGGTGTAGTACTCACCTCTTCCTTTAGGCAAGGAGTCAACAAACTGATTCTGCAAAAGGTCCGAGAGTGAATATTCCTGGATTTGCGGCCATATGATCGCTGTTGAAACTGCTCAACGCTGCCGTCGTAGCATGAAAGTAGCTATAGACGATACATAAATGAATGGGTGTGACTGCATTCCAATAAAACTTTATGGACACTAAAATTTGATCTCATGACATTTTCACATGTCATTAAATATTATTCTTCTTTAGTTTTTCCCCCCAACCAGTTAGGAATGTAAAGATCTTTCTCAGTTCACAGGCCAGATGAAAACAGGTGGCAGCTGAATTTGCTCTACAGCATAGTTTGTTAACCTCTGCTTCAGACCATCGAGGCCTCGGGAGACAGCAGAGAGAGAGGCTGGGGTGACAGGTTCCGGAAAAGGTCCCAATTGCCCTAATAGTTTCAAGCAGATGAATCTCAGCTAAAACTAACTGAGGGCAGCCTTGATTATTAGCACATAATCGTGCAAAAAACTTTTATCAATTGCCTATCATTTGCAAGGAGTCCCTGGGTGGTGCAAACGGTTAATGTGCTCAGCTGCTAACCAAAAGGTTAGAAGTTCGAGTCCACCCAGAAGCACCTCAGAAGGAAGGCCTGGCAATCTCCTTCCGAAAAGAATGAGTCATTGAAAACCTTTTGGGGTGCAGTTCTACTCTGACACACATGGGGTCGCTGTGAGTTGGAGTTAGCTCCACAGCAACTGGTATTATTTGCAAGGCCTCCTTCTGAACAGTTCAGTAAATAAAACCAACCAGATCGCTGTCCTCTTGTCTTCTACTTTCTTAGCGAAGATAGTTAATACACATCTCATGACACGATTTGTTAGCTAGTTACAAGTGTTATCTGTTACAATAGAAGAGGTATTAGTGGCTGTGACAGTCTATAACAGGTGGACCTAACTCAGTCTGGGAGGTTAGGAAAGGCTACGTGTAGACGGCATTTTGAAACCAAGGGCTATCCTCCCTGTCCCCCAGGGGCACTTGGCAATGTCTGGAGACATTTTTCATTGTTACAAATGGAGGAGAGGGTGCTACTAGCATCTAGTGTGTAGAGGCCAGGCATGCTGCTAAACATCCTACAATGCACAGAACAGCCTCCCACATCAAAGAATTATCCGGCTCCCAATGTCAATAGTGCCGAAGTTGAGAAACCCTGGGCTAAGGGAACAGACCCTACAGGGCAGAGCAGAACTGCCCCAAAGGGTTTCCAAGGAGTGGCTGGTGGATTCAAACCTTTTGGTTAGCAGCCAAGCTCTTGACCACTGAGCCACCAGGGCTCTGAGGGAAAAGCATATGCAAATGCCTTGAGTTGGGTAGGAGTATGGTGCGTTTGCCAATGTAGCTTGATCTCAAAGACCAGGGCAAGGTGAGGTTGGAGAGAGAGGCAGGGGCTAGATCAAGCATGCCCCTGGAGGCTGAGGTAAGAGCCTGGGAGTCACTGGAAGATGAAGAGAATGAGGGTCTCAAGGCATCTGTACTGCTGTAGTATAAACAATGGATCTAAGTGGAAAGGGGTAGGAGTGGATTTGGGGAGCGCCATCGCAGCAGGATTACTACAGGCGGGAAATGATGGCAGATGTAGCTGACACAACCATTTGAGAGTGTTCTCAGCAGGCATGTGACCAGGGGGAGGGACTCACAAAAGAGGACAGGTAGCTGGAAGATGACCAACCTCATCTTATTCATCTTGGAGTCTTTTTAACACATACCCAGAATCCTTACTCAGTAAATAATGGTTGAATTAAATTACTGGTGATTGTTGCAGATGAGGTGAGGAAGCAATTTTCTAGAACATTCTAGGGGGTTGGGGGGGTGGGGAGCCACCTAAATAAACTCTGCCTTTGTTAGAATTTAGTCACATAATTCCAAAAGGGGAAGAGAATAGGAAGGATTGCTAGAGCAGATGCTTTGCAAATGTAACATTTCTTCATTCTTTGCAGCGAGCCTGCCAGCAGATATTATTCCTGTTTCACTTTATGCGGAATTGAGGCCCAGAAAAGTTAAGCCACCTGGCCAAAGGACTCCCAGCCAGTAGTAAGCCTAGCCAGCACTCATTCTCACATCTCTGCCTTCAATTCCGGCTGTGTTTTGCTCGACATCACGCTTCTCTCCATGTCTTTTCAGGGAACGGCCATGAAAACTTGCTTCACTGGAATTCAAGTCACATGAGAGCAGAGACCATGTCTTAGCAATAACTGTCTGACGAACGAATGAATGACCCCCAAAAAAACAAAACAAAGCAAATCAGTTGCCATCCAGTCGATTCCAACCCATGGAGACCCCATGTGTGTCAGAGTAGAACTGTGCTCCATAGGGTTTTCAATGGCTGAGTTTTCAGAAGCAGCTCTGGGTGGACTTGAACATCCAGCCTTTCTGTTAGCAGCCAAGCTGCTTTAACCATTGCACCTCCAGGGCTCCTTGTTTGCTCCACCCAAAAAAGAAACCAAACCTGTCGCCACGGAGTTGATTCCAACTCCTAGAGACCCTATAGGACAGAGTGGAACTGCCCCATAGGGTTTCCAAGGAGCAGCTGGTGGATTCTGACTGCCAACCTATTAGTTAGCAGCCATAGCCCTTAACCACTGCACCACCAGGGCTCCTGTTGGCTCCACACCCCTCCAGAAATCTTGCCCCATGCACTTCCCCATAGAACCAACAGATGGCGGCAAACGAACAGCCTATCAAAGGAGCCAGAGAACTGTTGGCAGTTTAGGTTCTTTTATTGATGTCGCCTCCTTTCACTGAGCTCTGCTAAACAGGTAGCTTGAACATTTTTCCCAGGGAGACCCAAAAGGTAGTGCTGATTGACCGCGGTTCACCTTTCCTGGTTGGAGCACTCTGCCCCGCCTCAGAGGCCAGGATGTTTCCAGAAATCCGGCATGAACACCAGGAGGGCTTTACTGT